TTTAAGCAGTGTGTTAGGAAAGAGGAAGCCAATTTATTTTCTTGAAGCAGGATGGTGATCTGATTGACAATAAAATTATCTTGACTTGACAGAGGCAATTACACTTGGCTGGAGTTAGATGAGTCTATAGAGGCTAGGAGAGACTATGGATGACAGCAATGATGATGATGATGATGGTAACAGCTAATATATACTGAACCTTTCCTCTGTGTTAGTTCCTTTGTGATAGGTGACATTAGACATATGGACATTGACACATGAATTCACTTTCTCAAAGTCACATCATGAACAGAGAGTGGAGCCATAATTTAAATTCAAATTTGACTCTGAAATCTGCCCTCTTTGTACTACCAAATAGATGGTCTCTTTTGGTGGTTCATACAGTCATTTCTGTATCCCTATATTATTAACACTCATTGACATAAACTGTTGTATTATATATTGTTTCTCTTGTTATTATACTGAGATTCTGAGAATGCTGATCAGTCCTTGTAACCCCAGTACGATTTCATTAGTGTGTACATGATAATCTTTGCCTCTTCCTCATCCTTCCTCTATTTGTGCTACCTCCTCCTCCTTGTATGTTGATTAGCTTTATCCAAGCATGAGTTCCAGTGCTGCTGGCCATGAGGTCAGTGTTAATGAATCAATAAAATATATTAAATAAAATGTCTTGAATTAGAAATGAATGTGAAACAAGGTTATATATTGATGAAAATAAAACCAGTGAATCATGGGAAGCTAACCCTGGGTTTTCCCCAGGAGCAGTAGTTCCCAGCTACTTTATAGAACAGCAATCAAAGATAACAAGAATCAATTATTTTCATTATAAAAATGCTGGTAAGGGATGAGTTGTACCGGAATGAGAGAGTTATGTGCTGTTTATCTTTGCTATTTATAATCTTTACGTTATAGAATGCCCTTCCTAAGGCCTGCTGTCTTTTGGGAGGAACCAGTTTTAATTCTCATTGGCTTTTTTAAAAAAGTCATTTATAATTTGCCCTTTACAAATCATTATTTTTGCAGTTACAAAATAGTTTTAACTCAAGTTCTTTCATTCTTGTGTGAAAGACAGAGCACCACTTCTTAATTTTAATGATATTTGATTGACAGACTTACCTTAGAATTTTATAGTGTTCTTAAATTCCTCTGGTACTTAAAAATACTTTGTTTTTATTTGATTTTAAATCAGGAGTTGGCAATGTGTATTGTAGTATTTCTGTTAAGGGTCAGATAATACTTTTGGCTCTGTGGAACATGTAAGGTCTCTAGTCACTTAGACTTCTTTGCTCTCCCTTTTACAAAACTTAAAGTATGCTTTACAATCATTCTTTTGGGCTCAGAGCTCAGTCCAGAATTGGCCCAGCATTGTAGTTTGCTAACACTTGTTCTAGTGTTTCAGTGTGCTATGCCATCATCTACTCCTTTTTATAGAGTATGTTAATCTGCTTTTGTAGTAGATCATAATTATCAACCAATTCATGTGAATTTATTTTAAAGTCTAGATGATATTACTGTGTTGCATGATTAATATAACTACTCTAAGAATAGTAGGTAGAAAAGTGTCCCTATATTAACAATACTTCAAAAGTGTTTTCCTTTATATCTAAGGATTACTATCTTAGGAAAAATTGTTTTTAAATACTATAAGCCTTGACCTATTTCACAGAATCATCTTAGGGGTTTAGTAATAAAATTCCATAGGTTCATAGGTAAGCATGCTTTATGGCATCAATTTTAATCATTTTGATTTTTCGTAATGGAATTTTTAATGATCTGGTTGATGATGAGTACATTGTATGTCTAGGAACAACAGCAGAATTAGAAAGAGACATGGATCTCAAAGTTCCTTATATAGCCAGACCTGATTTAGAACTTGCCTTCCTTTGCTGTTCAAGGAGGCCTAAGGTGCCATGGAGCTGAGCTACAGGAAGTTGTGAGCTGCCATGTGGGTGCTGAGAACTGAGCTTAGATCCTTTGCAAGGGCAACATGTGCTTGTGACTGCTCAGCCGCCTTTCTAGACCCAATACTTCTTTTAAGTTTTAAAATGCTGTTCGAATTCACATACAGGCTATTAGGTACCGTGGCAGTTTCAAACAACATGTGTTTAAGTAGATTTTCATTGCCTTTCATCCTTTCAGTGAACCCTGCCCTGACTCCCAATTCTGTCCTGTACTCAGTTTCTTTTCTTCCTTTATGTGTTTTTGCACACCCTCATCCTTTCATGGTGTCTGTTTCTACCCTTTCTTTTTCTCCTTTCTAGTTTTATAGGTCTTTTTTTCCCATTTTTAAATTTAAATTAGAAATAAGATTGTTTTACATGTCAATCCAAGTTCCCTCTCCCTCTCCTCCTCCCATGCCCCCCCCCACTAACACCCTATCCAATACCATTTCTGCTCCCCAGGGAGGGTGAGGCCATGTGGAATGGGCTCCCAAAGTCCACACCTATGCTAGGGATAAGTCCTAATCTATGGCAAGAGGCCCCATAGATTTCTGAGGCCTTCTCACTGACCGCCATATTCATGGGTCTGGATCAGTCCTATGCTAGTTTCTCAGCTATCAGTCTGGGGACCAAGAGCTCCCTGTTGTTCAGGTCAGCTGTTTCTGTGGGTTTCACCAGCCTGGTCTTGACCACTTTGCTCATCACTCCTCCCTCTCTGCAATTGAATTCCAGTTCAGTTCAGTGCTTAGCTGTAGGTGTCTGCTTCTACTTCCATCAGCTACTGGATGAAGGTTCTAGGATGGCATATAAGTTAGTCATCAATCTCATTATCAGGGGAAGGCATTCAAGGTAGCCTCTCCTCTGTTGCTTAGATGGTTAGTTGGTGTCATCCTTGTAGATCTCCAGACATTTTCCTAGTGCCTGATTTCTCTTTAAACCTATAATGGCTCCCTCTATTATGGTGTCTCTTAGCTTGCTCTCCTCTATTCTTCCCTCGACTCAACCATCCTGCTCCCTCCTGTCCTCCTCACCCCTCCTCTTCGCCCCTTCTCATTCTCCTAGCTTCCTTTCCCCTCCCCCCATACTCCCAATTTGCTCAGGAGATCTTGTCCCTTTCCCCTTCTCCAGAGGACCGTGTGTGTCTCTCTTAGAGTCCTCATTTCCTAGCTTCTCTGGCGGTGTGGATTGTAGGCTGGTAATCCTTTGCTGTATGTCTAAAATCCATATATGAGTGAATACATACCATGTTTGTCAGATATTCACCAACCCCACATCTGACAGAGGGCTCATCTCCAAAATTTACAAAGAACTCAAGAAGCTAGCTTCCAAAACACAGAATAATCCAATTAAAAAATGGGGTACAGAACTAAATAGAGAATTCTCAATAGAGGAATCTAAAATGGCTGAAAGACACATAAAGTGTTCAACACCCTTAGCCATCAGGGAAATGCAAATCAAAACAACTCTGAGATACCATCTTACTCCTGTCAGAATGGCCAAAATCAAAAACACAAATGACAGTTTATGCTGGAGAAGATATGGAGAAAGGGGAACACTTCTCCAGTGCTGGTGGGAGTGCCAACTCGCACAACCACTTTGGAAATCAATATGGTGATTCCTCAGGAAAATGGGAATCAGTCTACCACAATATCTAGCAATTCCTCTCTTGGGCATATACCCAAAAGAAGCACATTCATACAACAAGGACATTTGTTCAACGATGCTCATAGCAGCATTATTTGTAATAGCCAGAACGTAGAAGCAACCTAGATGCCCCTCAATGGAAGAATGGATAGAGAAAATGTAGTACATTTGCACAATGGAGTACTACTCAGCAGAAAAAAATGGAATCTTGAAATATGCAGGCAAATGATTGGAACTAGAAGAAACCATTCTGAGTGAGGTAACCCAGTCACAAAAAGACAAACATGGTAGTTTTATAGGTCTTACACACATTTATAGCGAAATGAAATTTGCAAGAAAGTGGATGAATCAGGAAAGCATACTATTAACAATGTAGCCCCAAAAATCTTCCATGTTTTTATATTTTTGTTAACTTATTTTGTGTGTGCCAGGGTATACCTGTGTCACTGTGTTCATGTGGAGGTCAGAGGACATCTTGTTTGTAGAAGTGTCTCTTTTCTTCTGTTAACTGGGTCCTGGTGATTGAATGCTGGTGGTCAGGCTTGATGGCAGGTATCCTAACCAGCTGAGCCATGTCACCTGCCCTTTTATTTTTGATTGCACATGTGCCTGTGTGATATGTGTGTGTTAGTGCAGTCATCCATGTGGCATGGCATGCTTGTACCATGGTGTGACTGTGGAGGTCAGAGTGTAACAACTGTTGGGAGTAGAGACTCTCCTTCACCTTTCCAGGCAGGATTTCTCTTTTCTTTCTGAGGCATGGCACACTCCAAGTTAACTGGCCCAAGAGCTTCTAGGAGAGTTTCCTGCCTCTACCTTCCATTTCCCCATAGGCTGTATTTCAGGTGTGCACTGCTGCATCTGGCTTTTTATTTGAGTATCAGGAATTAACTCAGGTTACCAGATTTGCAAGTGCTTTTACTTGCTGAACCATCTTATTGGCCTCACAATTGCCTTTTGTGAGACAGTTTCCTGTTGCCCAGGCTGGCCTTAAACTTGTTATGTAGCCAAGGATCACTATTGAACTCTGGATTTTTTCATCTCTACCTCCTGAGTGCTAGTATTCCAAGCATGAGTTACCTCCCACAGTAGGTTTATGTAGTATGGGAATAGACTTTATGTAGTATGGGAATGGCTTTGTGCATGCTAGGCAAGTAATATTTCCACTTCTGGGAGACTGCAGTAAAGATAAGAGCTCATATATGTTTATTTAAAATCAAACTTTGAAGAAGACAATAAGATCTTTGCACTCTACAATAGTTAGGGCAGCACAAGGGATTTTTGTAAATGGATAGAGTAATTTGAAATGGTTGCATATTTAATATATTCCTCAAAATTCCTCCAATACTTATCAGGATATAGAAAAAGAGAATATTTTCACTTACAGTGGTCTTTTTGCTATGTCTTTTTCAGATGGGAAAGTTGACAACCATGCCTGCAGGTCTGATATATGCATCTATAAATCTACATCTGGCCAAAGAAGAGGAACCCAAAAAGCAGCTAGTAAGACCAGAACAGGTAATTGGCCTTCCAAAGTTTGTGAATTTTGCATAATATAGAGATAATAGAAAAAAACTATGTAGGTGTGTTTTTTACTACATCTATCATAATAGGGTATGAGATATCTAAAATACATAATATATTTAGTAGAAACAGAAAATTGTAATTTAAAAATGGTGATTTTTCTTAACATCAAACCAGTAAGAAAGGGGTCTTCAGCTACAAAGCCTTCCACCTACAGTTTGTCCTCCCTGAAAAGGGTTCTGGGAACAGAGCCTAGCATAATTGTCATCAAAGAGACCAGAGCGACTTCATCCAGCAGCTGATGGGAGAAAAATGCAGAGTCCCACAGCCAAACATTATGCAGAGCTCACGTGTCCTGTGGAGTGGAGGGGGAGGAAGAATGGGATTTGAGGAACCAGAAGGGACAGGGACACCATGAGAACATGGTCCACAGAACAACTGACTGGTATTCATAGAGGCTTCGATATCATGGAGCCAGCAGGGGTCTGACCTAGGTCCTCTGCACATATGTTATGGCTAAGTAACAAGGTGTTCTTGTGAGACCCCTGACGGTGGGAGTAGGGACTGTTTCTGACTCTTTTACCTACCTATGGTACCCTTTTCCTCCTACTAGTTGAACAAAAAACTTTTGGTTCCACTTTCTTGGTAAACATCTTTTACAAAAGGATCAATATGTTCTTGTTTTATTGTTTGGTGAACATAGTTAAATCCTCCTTTCAGGACTATGAGATAGCCATCTTTTAACCAAGAAACTTGTAGATCTAGAATGAATGGTCACGCCACAAATATCCCTGGAAATTTCTTTTCTACATTCCTCAGTGCCATGAATTTGACTTATTTTTATTGTCATTTTAGATCAGGGGATCCTCCCTAGAACAGGAATTAAAGGTGGTTGTGAGCTACCATGTGGGTGCTGGGAATTGAGCATGGGTCCTCTGGAAGAGGTGCTCTTAACTGCTGTACTTTTTCTCCAGTTCCATTATTTCCTTAAAAAAACAAAACAAAGCAAAACACTTTATGATACCTTATCTATCTGTTTTGCTAAGCAATTTAGGTATTTATACATATTTGAATTATATATTTATGGTATTTATGGGACAACTTGCATGTAATTTTCTACATCTTAGCCTTTTAGTTTAGTAGTAGTATTTTGAAATTCATTCTGATTTTTGTATGTGGCTGTAACTGATTTTTATTTTTTATTTTAATTGCAGCAGGATCTCAGTATGTGGTTCCATCTGACCTGGAACTAGCAGTGTCATTTAGGTTAGCCTCAGACTTGTGGAGATCTGCCTGCCTCTATCTCCTGAGTAGTGAGATTAACGGCATACACCATCATGCCCAGCAGTGTGATTATAGTGACTGTAATTTTTATATTTTACTCTAATTTATAGTAGTCCGTTATATGTATATAATCTAGATTAACTGTCTACTTTAACCTTGATGAATATTTGAGTTGTTTCCAGATATTTTTCAATCACATGGAGTTTATTACAGGGGAGAACGTGGCAGGGCAAAGAGAGACAAGGGGGAGAGGCAGGTGTGGGGGAGTGGGGGACGCAGGTCAAGAGAGCTGTTTCCAGATTTTCTTTCTTTTTTTTTTTGGTTTTTGGTTTTTGAGACAGGGTTTCTCTGTGGATTTGGAGGTTGTCCTGGAACTAGCTCTTGTAGACCAGAGTGGTCTGGAACTCACAGAGATCCACCTGCCCCTGCTTCCTGAGTGCTGGGATTAAAAGTGTGTGCCACCACCGCCCAGCTTTGTTTCCAGATTTTTACAGTTAAAATTTCGATAGGATTAAGGGCTGGAGAGATGGCTTAGCAGGTAAAGATCTGGACTGGCTAGTTTTATGCCAGCTTGACACAAGCTAGAGTCATATGAAAGGAGGGAACTTTAACTGAGGAAATGCTTTTATAAGATCCAGCTGTAAGGCATGTCTCTCAATTAGTGATTGAGGAGAGAGGGCTCAGCCTCTTGTGGGTGGTACCGTTCCTGGGGTAGTGGTCCTGTATTCTATAAGAAAGCAGGCTAAGCAAGCTAGTAAGCAGCACTGTTTGAGTTCCTGTCCTGACTTCCTCTGACTGTAGTGTGGTAATGTAAGCCAAATTTACACCCAACTTGCTTTTGGTGTTGATGTTTTCATCATAGCAATAGAAATTCTAATTAAGATAAGGTCCTTGACGTCAAGCCTAATGACCTAAATTCAATCCCTGGAATCCTTATGGTGAATTGAGAAAACCAACTCCCATACACTCCCACATGCAAACCATAGCATATGTGAGCATAATCATGCATGCACACACAATTAAATCAAATTTCATTTAAAATGCTAGGATTAAAACTTATGTGTCTCTTGGGTATGGTGATCCACATCTGTAATCCCAGTACTCAGGAAGCAGAGTTTGGAAAATCATAAGTTTGAGACCTTCTTAATACTTTGAGCTATATAGTGAAGCCTAGTTACTTAGACTACATAGTGAACCCCTGTCATATAAACAAAACAACCCATCTTGTCACACTGTATGTGGCATCACTTGATTCTACATTTCTACATAGTTTTTATGTTCAGTTTATTCTATCATCTTCAATGTATTGTCTATAAACAATTTTAGCCATTTTTTAGAAGGAAGGTCGATGATGATTCCTGCTTTGATACAATGCTGGGAAAGGCAGCCCAGCTATTTGTTTTTGATATGAACTTTATTCTATTCCCAGCTCCCCATATATACTGCACCTCCTCTCCATTCTAAATATGTTGAAGAACAGCCTGGTTATTTACAAATGGGTTTTGCATCCATCCGTACTACAACTGTTCATTATATTGGCTGGTGCAAGGTAAGTCTATTTCGATAGTAGTTAAATATCAGTGTTTTTGATTAAGTGTTTCAGGTATTTATAGATGCATTTTTAAAAAGAGAAGAAAACACCTTGAAACTTAGTGGCTTAAAATACAAAGCATTGTGTAATGGCACATTATTTTGAGAATTAGGAATATGATGAGTGTTCAGACAGCTGATTCTTCTATTCTTGTGATACTTACTGAGGCCACTCAGTGGCATTCATTGGGCAGATGGGCTGAGCTAGAGGCCAAAATAGCTTAACTTGTATCTTTAGCACCCTGTCAAGGATGGCTGGAAGACTAGGCTTGGCTGAAATTGTTGACTGGGATGGCAGCTGATAGCACACTGATGTTTTGATATCATCACCATAAATTTAGTTGTGTGTTGTCAACACCTCCACTGTGAGCATCTTAGTAATAGTGGTACTAGTGTTTTTCTAATTCTGGAGTAATAATCACAGCTTTTACTTCACCAACAAATGCAGCCTGATTGTAAACCTATGTTTGTTTTAACGTTTATTGTTTTTTGATAATTTCATATATGAGCATTTACATCAGTACATTTACCTCATTTTCACCCCAACCTCTACCTCCCCCAACTCCTCCTGTGTTCCCACCACTCCCTCTTAGTTTCATGACCCCTTCTTTATTATTGATGCACACACACACACACACACACACACACACACACACACTCACACACTGTTGAGTCTTTTTAGTGTTGTTCATATGTATATGTATTTAGGACTGGTCACTTGGCTTCGGATAGCCTATCATGGAGGTTGTTTCCAGAGAACACTGATTCCTCTTCTCTTAAAGTCCATTAATTAATTGCCCATGGCTCTGTGAGATTTCCTCTATCCTAGTTCGAATGTCAATTGATTGTGAAGGTCTTGTTCAGGCTACCATGTTAAGATTTCTAGATGCAGATTCCCTGTCATATATAGTTCTAATATATTCCCTTTCAAAGGAAAATTTTGAGGCTGGAGAGATGGCTCAGTGGGTAAAGATACTTGCAATGCAAGCCTGGTGACCTGAGTTTGATCCCCAGAACCCATGAAAGGAGGAAAGAGAAACTTCTGTCTGACTTCCACACACTGTGTGTGTATGTTCACAGATACACATACACACACACACACACACACACACACACACACACAACATCATCATCATCATCATCATCATCATCATCATCATCATCATCATCATCATCATCATCATCATCATCATCATCATCATCATCATCATCATCATCATCATCATCATCATCATCATCATCATCATCATCCACACCATCATCATCATCATCATCATCATCATCATCATCATCATCATCAAGAAAATTAAACGAACTTATAAAAAATAGCATCCTTAGGTGCCACATCTAATCAGTGAACTCTCATCAATCTGTAAGGTATTTCAAATGTGATGTGGAGTTATTTTTGAAAGTTTGTGCTTGTCATACAATTCCAGGGTACTGGTTGTGCTAGTCACCCTTAATAATGTGATCTCTGCGGGAAATATCTTAACTAATTGTGGTCTGAGTCATGCCCCTCAGGCTATATGCCAAGAACTAGATGATTCAGACTTAGGTCTCTTGAGACCTAATTTTCTATAGTGTACTCAGATGTGTCTTCAGTGAGGTAATTGTTCCTGAGAGATCTTTAAATTGCTATTGTAACTATCACCCAATTTAAGACTGAAAGAACATTTTATTCTGTTAATATGCTGAAGCAAATAGGTTGATGAAGGGCACTTGCAAATGCATTTCATCTTCAATGTAAACAACTTTTCTCTCTAATTTTCTCCTAAATACGCAATCTATTCCTCAAAAAGGTCTGATTTAAATTACTTCTTTGTGAAAAGTAGCATCATGTAGTGCAAATTCAATGCATGCTCCTAGCCAATGCTTTAGAAAGTGTCTTGAAATTTATGTAACAGTGCCCCCCAGTGGTAAAAAATGAATTCCTAAACACAGCTAAAGAAAATTTTCCCAAAGACCAGTTGTTTTCCTTGATGATTAAATGGTTCAAAACATATCAGTAAATATTTTAATGCTACAGGTGATGTTTTCTAAATACAGTCCCTCAAGAGAAATGTCTCAGTGACACTTTATGTTTTATGCTAGTTTGTATAGCTTTTAAACAAGGGCGAGCATCTCTGCTCAATCTTAAACGGAGACAAAATTCGTAGATGAAGACATCTCATTCTCATCACTACAATTGTTTCTGTTTTTCTGCACTGAAAATATCTGTTGTGATTGTTTCCATCTCATGGTTTCATACATAAGGAGGCCATATGTTTGGATTATGTTTTCTTGCTTGTACAACAGAATCCAGCATGGAATATAGCACGATTCTGAGTAGATCACTCATACCTTCCCAGTGTGAGACAACACCTGCCATCCAATGACTAGAACAGTATTTTGGCATTCACGTTAAATTAGAAACCGATAAACAGAAAACATGCTTTAGAGCTTTAATCCCTTTGGTGGGCTATTATTGATCTTGTTTGTGGAGAATTTATGTTCCTATTTAAAAATAAACACTTCATTTGCTTTTGTCTCATTCTAAGGGTACACTAAGGTAAAGGTAAGAGATGAAGCGCTTTTCATTAGGCCTTTCCCATCTGTTTTCTTCTCTACAAATCATTATGCTGTTGCTATTGCATTCTTATTAGCCAGATGATTTTGTGTGTGTGCTGAGATACACCTCTCTTCATGATTTATTGACGATCCATTCATTTTATCCAGGCCATTATAAAGTAAGGTGATAAATCATTATAAGTTTTTCAGTTTCTTTCTTGTGAAACCGCTGATTATTTTAAAGGTATTACTTTACCCACTTGTATGAGGAAAATACTACACCAGAATTACTGTGTTAAAAAGAATGGAAAATAAGAGATGAACGGATGATGTCATAAGCAAGTATACTCATAGGGAATAAACAGAAAATCGGGGTTTAGATTTGAGTGTAATACTAAATCAACAGCTAAATGTAATCTCAGAATTGTGGGCTATTGTGTCGACAACCACTTCAAAATTCACATCTCTTTTTTTTTGTTCCTTTTTCTGCTTAGGATGTTTATATCTTTATGAAGAATGGGATAATAGATACAGTACAGTTTGGAAAAGGTAAGTGAGTAATAATTAGAAATGCATTATGGTTTTATGTTGTATTGTTTAAAATTTAAGAATATGAGCATATTATATTACCCATTACTATGATTATACTGATATAATAAAGCAATAGTAAGACTATGTATTTTACAATTTATTACATGCTAAGGCGTCATCGCATTGCTGAGTGTTGCTATTGTAACTACAGAGTCTTCTCTTACAGATTAGAAAATGAGCTTTAGAAAGTTTAACTAGTTTCCCAAGATTACTAGGAGGCAATACACAGATTCAATTTCAGGTCACTTTTGCCTGAAAGTCCACATTGCATATTTATAAAGAATAAGGTGAAGATTTATACCCTCTTTTGCTAATTAGTTTAAATAGTGCTATTATCTGTTAAAATGCATTATGTTTTGTATCAATTGCTGGGAAATGACATAGCAATCACTCATCTTGAACTGTTTCAGCTAATGTTGGAAAGTAATTGTATTTGATGTTTAAGCTTCTAAATGGTATTTGGCAGAAAACATAACTTCCTGATATTCCTTGCTTAGAGCAGTTGGCAAAAATAAATGTTTATGGAAAACAGAAACAAGGAGGATTCTAAGAGAAGCAAACATGGTCCCCTGGAGAAGGGGAAAGGGACAAGATTTCCTGAGCAAATTGGGAGCATGGGAGCAGGAGAGAGGGAGCTAGGAGAATGAGAAGGGGCGAAGAGGAGGGGTGAGGAGGACAGGAGGGAGCAGGATGGTTGAGTCGAGGGAAGAATAGAGGAGAGCAAGCTAAGAGATACCATAATAGAGGGAGCCATTATAGGTTTAAAGAGAAATCAGGCACTAGGAAAATGTCTGGAGATCTACAAGGATGACACCAACTAACCATCTAAGCAACAGAGGAGAGGCTACCTTAAATGCCCTCCCCTGATAACAAGATTGAAGACTAACTTATATCCCATCCTATAGCCTTCATGCAGCAGCTGATGGAAGTAGAAGCAGACACCCACAGCTAAACAGTGAACTGAACTGGAATCCAGTTGCAGAGAAGGAGGAATGATGAGCAGAGGGTCCAGACCAGGCTGGTGAAACCCTCAGAAACAGCTGACCTGAACAAGGGAGAGCTCTTGGTCCCCAGACTGATAGTTGGGGAACCAGCATGGAACTGATCCAGACCCCATGAACGTGGGTGTCAGTGAGGAGACCTCGGAAATCTATGGGGCCTCTGGTAGTAGATCAGTATTTATCACAAGCATAGGTGTGGAATTCGGGAGCCCATTCCACATAGAGGGATACTCCCTGAGCCTAAACACACAGGATGGGCTTAGGCCCTATCCCAAAGGTTATGACAGACTCGGAAGATCCCCTATGGAAGGCCTCATGAACCCTGGGGAGCAGAAAGGGTATGGGATAGGTAGGGTGTTTGTTGCGGGAGGTGGGGTGGGAGGGCAGGGTAGAAGGAGAGGCAGAGGGAACTGGAATTGACATGTAAAACAATCTTGTTTCTAATTCAAATAAAAAAAAAAGAAAGAAAAATTAGCTAACATTTTAGGTATCTACAATAAACTTAATGAAAGTTATTTGAAATATTATTACTTAATATGCATTAAGGATTAACATTATCAGTATTTTTTGAGCAAGAGTCTTACTATGCAGCCTAGGTGAACCTGGAACTCATTGTCTTCCTGCCTTATCATCTCAAGTGCTGGGTATAACCAGTATAACCAGCTATACCTCATTAATCTTGAGGAACATAATTACATATGTGATTGTCATCAAATAACTATGATAGAAGAGTATTTTTTAGATCTAGAACTAATTTTAATGTATAAAACATGGAAGCATATATACTTTTGATCATGCTTTATTTTTTTTCTATTTTCACTTCTCATTTTGATCTTTACTTTTACTTAATGACTAATGTGAGGGTTTTGGAAAATGGTAGCAAGAAGTGTCTACTTGCAAAATCTTTTATAAGGTATCATTAATTCTTGCTGGATCCTACCAGTGTTTAAACAGGTAACAGCAAAAGCCTGTTCATTGTAGGGTTGTAAAACAAACACAATCAGGAATTTTTTTATGGTACTCCTTATTTAAGTACTTTCTGGTATAATATTCATTTAATAATAATAGTAATCTGTGTCATAAAGAAAGCAAGTATTATCTCTAATTAGATATTCTGAAGTTAATAGTTTTGTTTTTCCATAAAAAGCATGTATCATCATCTCAATCAATAATATTCATATTTGCACTCTTAGATGCAGTGCACATTGACTTATCATTTGAAAAAAATAATGCCTGAATTGTAAAACCAGTTAGCTGCTAAGATGTATAGCTTAGTGATAAGGATTGACCTGAAATTATTTGAATGATCAATTCATGTTTAATAAACAGCTAGAAATTCAGATTGAATATGCATTGTTAATACCACATGGAAACTGCTTGTAAAGAGTTACTGGATAGTCACAATATTTTTGAATATGCACCAGAAGACTGTCCAACTGAACACAAGAAAATAAATTAAACAACACTAGTTCTTAAAAAAAAGAAAGAAAGTATTAAATGACCCATAGAAGGTAAATTTAATTTTATAGTTAGTATTATAACAAATCATTTGTTTCTGTCTATATCAATTTTTGTAAAATTTATTTAAAGAATATTGAAACTGTTCACTAACATTATATTGTCTGACACTAACATACTAATCTCTAGCTGTTCTGTAGTATACTTATATAGACTGTCCAATTGTAGTCAGTCATTCTTACTCATTTTTAACTGGTCTCTTCAGATGCATATGTCTATCTAAAGAATCCTCCTCAAGATTTTCTACCTAAAATGGGAGTGATTACAGCTTCAGGACTGGCAGGTTTGCTTTCAGCAATAAAAGGTATGTTTGTACAATATATTTTCTCTTTCAATGCTATTACATTATTTCTAAATTTTACTTTCATTACATTTATTGGACAACATCAGATTAGGTTAGCATAAAATGTTTACATTTTGATTTCCTTTATTTTCCCAAGACAAGGTTTCTCTATAGCTTTGGAGCCTTGCTTGGAACTTACTCTGTAGACCAGGCTGACAGAGATCCACCTGCATCTGCCTCCCGAGTGCTGGAATTAAAGGTGTGCGCCACCACTGCCCAGCAAAATGTTTAGATTTTTACTGTACCATATGTATGTTTATAAAGGTTAAACTTGACCAAACTAACTGTAGTAAAGAATGAACAACAATTGAATGTCTTATGTTCTGCTGGTAAAAAAATGCAAAGTGATATAGGAATTCTGGAAAATTTATAATTTCTCATAAAATTAAACATACACTTATCTATCAAGCAACATAAGAATCACATCCCCAAGTATGTACTTACCCTAGATATGCTGGCTAGTCTTGTGTCAACTTGACACAAGCTAGAGTTATCTGCAAGGAGAGAACCTCAACTGAGAAAATGCCCTCAGAACATCCAGCTGTAAGGCATTTTCTTAATTAGTGATTGTTGGGGGGGACCCAGCCTATGGTGGGTGATGCCACTCCTAGGCTGCTGGTCCTGGGTTCTATAGGAAAGCAAGCTGAGCAAGCCATAAGATGAAAGCCAGTAAGTAGTACCCCTCCATTTGACTGTAGTTCTCATGTGAATGGTCAGATTCACAAGGTTATAATAAGGCTTGATGACTAGTTACAAAGACTCACAAAGCTTGGTGTGTAGTCATGGTCATGGATAAGAATTACTGCAATGGGAGGGTATAAGATGAAATTAAAAAGCAGGAGTGGCATAGGGCAAAGTTTAGAAAAAATCAGTTATAAATTTTAGAAGTCTTTTTCCAGGGACTAATACAATGTAGTCTTAATTTCTCTAGTAAGAAGTTGAGATGATATGAATAAAGCCAAGCAGAAGAGTGGCCAAGGTTTCATTGAGGGCTAGTCACATAAATAGTATGTACCTAACAAAATTCCAGACTTCTAAGAGGAAAGGTTCTCAGATGCTAAAAGAAGCTTCTGATGGCAACAGTCTTGAGTTTACTGTGTGTTAAATCTTTATGCATGATATTTTAACAATCCTATTTTATATGCACATCATCAATTTTAGCTGTCTCAAATCAGATTATTATTTCTTTATATGGAGCCCTTTTAAACTCTTTATATTCATGAAACATATAATAGGTTACTATAAACTGTAGTAACCTCAATGTACTATATAGGTCATTGGAACTGATTATCTCTATGTAACTGTATTTGGTATTTTTCTTCCAACTTACTTCTATATCTTATTCCTTGAATTTTGAAGGAAATTGTCCATAATGTATCACTTGATTTCTTAATTATAAAGTAGCAATCCTCTGGAAAGAGAGACTATTCTTTAGGTCATTTATCATGCTTTTGAATGTGAGAGCTAGAATAATCCATAACCTGGTTCTTTCAGGTTACAGCGCTCAAACTACTAGTGGTAGTGAAGTAAGCATAATAGATCTGAGGGTGTATTTTTAAAAATGATTTTTGATAGAATAGTGAATAGAGTGTTTTGTGCTTGGTATTTGAGTAAATATCATGAAACTTTTGTCTCAGAGAAATGTGCTATGTGTGATCAGCTATAGATCACGTAAACCTTATTCTTTAAATATGTTATAGTACAGTGAAAGGAAGAAAGCTATTTCTTTCTTCTAACGCTGTTGTATTGAAGATGGAAATCTAAAGGAAAACCATTTGTATGTTTCTAAGTGTATATCACATAGCTAATTAGTATCTGTGTTAATATTCTTCCTTAACTATAAAAGAACTATTGAACCTACATGAAACATATCATTTTGTAGAATTGTTTCTTGTATACAAGTAAGGAAAGAGTGAATGTCATTTTTTCCAATAGTTTATCAAAGAAAAGCTGCCATACACCACCATAATTTTGATGAGTTAAGAGATCCTAATCCTTGAGATTGTTAAATCAACTAAACAAAAATACTGAGGGAGGAGCAGAGTTGAGATTGAGTTTAGGATGTGCTTTAATTAGCATAAACTTTCTCCCATTATACCATAGAAAGCAGCCTTCCTACCCACCTTAGCAAAGCTCAGTCTATTGTAGACCTGACTTTAACAGGCTTCATTAAAAATAATTAAACCAGACAGAGAAAATACAAGGTTTGTAACATTTCACAAACTGTAAAGTTACCAGGAGACATTTTCAGGTATTTTTTCACCTTAATATTTTGATATTTCCTTTTTAAATTAGGGGCCAAAAAGCGGTTAGAGTTAACAGTACTTACTCTAGTTGAAAAAGCAACATGTAATTGCTTAGTCTCATTCAGACTGTGATATACCCAGACAGACATTTAGGATGCATATCATTGTGAAGCAGTGGTCTTGTAGTGAAAGATCCCCAGACTCCTAAGGGCCTCAGGATCCCAAGGAGCCCTCAGAAACTAGAGTCAGAAACCAGACCAAGAGCTGCAAAAGCAAGAGGGTTTATTGAACGAATGCGCATTCGGGTGTCAGCAATATCGGGGAAGCTGCACACCTCAGCATGGGGTGCAAGCTCTTTATATAGGAAAAATCCACAGATCAACATACAGGCAAGGGGCACAAAGTGATTGATTACAAAGTAGGATCTCATGTTAGAGTGGTCACCCAGGTGTGGCCTGCTTTTTTACAAAGGAAAAACCACAGAAACGTAACCTGGAAAGTCCTTGATTGTCTGTTGGCCAGCCAGGTGTGACCCAAAGAGGGTTGTCTTGGCAGTTGCCCCTGTCTAAACCATAGGATGTGTCCGGGGTTGGGGCCAACTTCCTTGTCATGGGCCAAGCCTGTGGGAAACTTTTTCTCTCTGTGAACTAAAATCTTTCAAAACTTTTTCTCTCAGCAAACGAAAATCTTTGAGTAGGTCTAAGCTTCAGCTGAGAATGCTGTGTTTCCCACTGTTATACAGCATTACGGTGGTTCTGTGCAAGTGTTTAGGGGGAGTGTGAGGATAAGATACAAGCTCTGTGACAGGGCTTGATGCAGAACTTCTTACACCCAGGTTAATCAAGCAATTTCAGTTGACAGGCTCCTAGTGAGAACTAGTGAGCTCATAGTAAAATTCTCTTTGGAATTTTTTAAAAAGAGATTTTCCTGTCAAAAAAATGATATGAAAATGACTCTTAGATGCTTAGTTAAGGCACTTTTGAAAACGAATTAATTATGTCAAGCTAATTGCAATTAGTATTACTTCAGTATTCTGAATCAGTGACATGAAGAAGTTATGTACCTTTTGAAGTCCTTAGCTGATTGGTTAGTTAGATCCTTCACCTTTCTAAGTGTTAATCAGAGAGGGCATATAGAAGAGAGTCCATTTCACTTTAACCTGCTTTGATGAACACAGTAGTTGATTAATTCTGCTATCATGCTTTGTTAGATAGTTGAAAAATGTAATTATAATTTTACATTTCTTAGGACATGAAAAAATAATCAATCTTTTAAAAAAGAAGATAATTACTAATTCCTTTGTGTAGATAATTATTAGGTTCAGAACATTTTTCTTAAATTGGACATGATGGCTAAGGGACATTAATTGAATTGAGAGTCTTAAGGGCATTTTAGGTACCATCTTGATTGGTATTACTAACTAAAGAGCAATTTAACATAGGGTGATAGCTTAAAGAGGGGCAAAGAAAATATTACACTAAAAGAACATCAAGTCTCTGGTGGTATCTATTTGGAGTGAATGATATGTTTGAATCTCCTAGGTTCTAGGTTTAAGAAGATTGCTTATCCACTAGGATTAGCCTCATTAGGAGCAACTGTTTGTTACCCGGCTCAATCGGTAATAATTGCAAAGGTAAGTTCATTTTAAGTGAGAGCAGTGTTCGTTTAAACTCCCAATGTAATATTTAAATGTCACAAAAGTTATTTGATTTTCAGAGGCATGTAGTTGGAATAAGCTTTTGGGTTGGCAAACTTGCAGTAGTATCCTGTCATGGAAAATGCCATTCTTTATTTTATGATCATCACAAATAAATAGGATGAATTTGTGTAACTGTAGTTCAGCAATATAAAAGCAAGTTGACAGATCAAGTTTAAAGACACAATTGGAATTTATGGGGCGAAATACTGCTTCATAGTTGGACTATATACATTTTTTCTTAGTTAAGAGAAAATTATACCTGCTGGCAACTGCTTAGTTCAGAATATTAACACAATGCAAGAACAGCCAAATAATAATTTACAGAGACTTCTGAGGTTAAAAATATATAAACAAAGTAAATTTTGAAACCATTGGAACAAAAATATCTTCCAGCTCATTGTGATTGCTGTACATCAGAATAGTCTCCTAATAATTTGAATGATTTTACTGATTTTTTTCTTTTTACAATGATAGGGGTTAGTCCCAGAGTCCCAGACACTATGCTGGTCAAGCCATAAACTCTATCTGCAGGCCTTGTATTTTTATCACAAACTCAGATTCAGAAGCACAGATTTGGGGTATGCAAGTTTTTCTTCTTTTCTGCCATTAGTTATCAACATTTAATATTCCAATTCATACTTAAATATTGTTACCAGAAGGATGTTCTGTGCTTGTATTCTCACTGTTGTATCTCAATATTTTGAGAATGTTAAGGATATTCTGAACTCTGCAGTTTGTTATGTGATCAAGCTATAAAAGCTTATAACAGGAAAAGAACATTATTCATTAAATCTAGTTATACTTGAGAAAATTCCTGGATAAAGTGATGAATTTGTTTTAAAAGACTCTTTCGTATGAATTTACATGAGAATTAGCCACTCAAATTAATGTTGATGCTGAAGGAAAACTTAAGCTCATTTTACTTAACATTTATATTGATCTCATTTGCTGATAAGCAAAAGATGGCCCAGTGAAGGTTCCCAGGGACTGCCTTATCCAGAGTCATACTCAGCTTGAGTTATCCCACTTTTGTGTCTGTTAGTATTACCACTGGATGATGCTGCCACTGAGTCAACTCTTTTTCTCTTTACGGTAATTTCTCTCTGCATGTGTATTTGTTTTCATAAAAGTGATACCAATTCATCCTTAAATATAAGCATTACAGAAAAGTTTAGACTAGAAGAAATATAACCCCTGAAATATGCTTACATCCATAAAAATATCAGTGTCAAAATTCTCTTCCAATATTCTTCTAGCCATCTTTTACATGATCACATAGAAATAGAAAAATAGGTAAGTATGTAGATAAGAATAATGTCATGGTATAGATCTTTCTAAAGAGTATTACATTTGATTTATTTTAACAAAATAAAAAACTTAAAGAATTGAACTTTAATATTAAATACTAAGATTATTCTACAGTAAATCACCAAAATCTCTAACAATGAAACTCTTGCTTTTTGGAATCTATGTATATTATATATAATGTTTTCAGATTAGAATATACATATAGAGTTGGAGAGATGGCTCAGCTATTAAAGGCTGGGCTCACAACCCAAAATATAAGAATATACATATATGTACATATATAGATAGATAAGTAAATAGAAATAACATGGCTTTCTGAGGATTCAGAAAGTCTATAACTCCTACACTATCTAAAATTGTATGAAAAATGTGTATATATAGTACCTTTCTGCTTATTTGATATTATCAGGCTGGTACATAGCAATTACCTGAAAATTTGAAAGCAGTATTTATCTGAAATTTTAATTCAGATTGTAGTATGTCTATTTTATTGTTTAAAATGTATGTGTGTACATGTCCATGCACACGTGTCCATATATATGTACACATATGCACCTATGTACGCATGTGCATGTGAAAGCTGGAGGACAACCTTGAGTACCATCCTCAGGAACACTGTGCACCTCCTTTGAGGCAGGGTCTCTCTGTGGTGATATATCATTTATGATTTATTAAAATTTGCCTAAGGATTCAGAAAGCGAAGTCAGCCACAAGCTATAGAGATCAGACAGTGGTGATACACTCCTGTAAATCCAGCAGCCAGAAGCTAGGAAGTGTTCCTACACACCTTTAATCCTAGGGCTCACAATTAAGAGATAGATGGATCTCTGTGTGTCCAAGGCCACCCAGATCTACACAATATTGATCGAGTCCTAAAGAGAAACAGCTCACACAAACATGATCTCAGCACCTGGGATCACATGCCTTTAATTCCAACACTAGAGGGGTATAAAGGATAGGAGCAGGGTCTTCAGTAGTCAGTCAGTATCAGGGATTCATTCTCCAGCCACATTGAGGACAGGAAGACATTGAAGTCTCAGGATTCTCCAGCCACACTGAGGAGAGGTTGCAGTCTGAGCTTTGGTGGAGCCATGATTGCATTTCATTCTGAGGTAGAGTCAGAGCTAGTGACAAGCTGCTTTGCTTTTCTGATCTTCAGCTTGAAGTTTGAACCCCAATATCAATCACTTTATCTTTTATTTTTCATGCTACATCTCTCATTGACCTGGAGCTCACCAATTAGGCTAGATTGGCTTGCCAGTTAGTTTCAGGGATTGTCATGCCTCTGCTTCTCCAGAACTCGAATTACAAGTAGACACCATCCCACTGGACATTTTTATGTTGGTTATAGGCATTGAAGTAAGATGCTTGCAAAGCAAACACTTTACTGACTGAACCACATCCTCTAGCCCCCACCCCCTTTTCTCTATTTTACAGGAAGATTGTTCACTAAATATTAGGTTTTTTTTGTTAAGATCTTTCTTTCTTACAATAACAATATGCTAAATTATATTTTCAGTTTTCTAATACATGTTCTTTCAAATAGGAAAAGATCATTTTAAGTCATTGAAAAAACATGGTTGCAGAATCCACCTAGATTTTGTGTGTGTGTGTGTGCGTGCGCGCGCATGCATGTATGTGTCCCAGCTTTTTAAACTGCTAGTTTTAAAGCAGTTATATTTTAAACATTCAGTTTCAAATCTTTATAATGCATTTAATTTAGTTTTCCTAGAAATAATTTCCTAGAAATATATTTTATTGTACTTAAATTGTTTAGTTTCAAATAAAACTGGTGTAGAAACTTGTAGAAAAAGCAAATGTAAGATTATTAGTCAACTTGCAAAAGAAGTCATATTAAGTGAAATAAGCTGGATTCAGAAAGACAAATAATGAATATTTTCTCTCATTTGTGGATCCTAATTTATATATTGATGCATAAAACCAAACACACACATATGCATGTGACATGACAACACATATATGCACATTCATATATGACATGAAAGCATAAGTGAGTCCAAGGGAAGGAAGAAGATTCAAAGCAAGGGAGAAGGAATGGAAAGGGCTTGGGAGTGAATATGGTCAATGGACATGAAAGTAATTGTCTTTATGAAAATTATCATGGAAGAAATTTTCAAGGCAGTTTGGAAAAGGTGTTTTTTATATTGAAAGTAGCCACTAGTGATCAGTATTCAAAATTTTATGAGTATCTTTTATTATAAAATTAAAAATAATATTTCACTTGTGTTGATCATTCCATGATGCATCCATCCATTCAAAGATGATCCGTAGTTGTAAGACTAAGATTTCTTTATTCAGATAAACACCAGCCCAAACGCAAGCCAGAGTGTGCCCCGAGGTCGCAGGCTAGTGTGGCCAGAGAGAAAGGGCTTTTCCACGTGTGCGTGGTCCCCTAAGACTTGTCCCCGCATCATCTTGGACCTCCCCTGACCACGCCCTCACGGGCGTGTCCAAGCACACCTGTCGGGGCTACTAGAAGGCAGGGCTACAGTGTCTCCCTACACACTTGGACTGGAGAGATGGCTCAGTGGTACCGTGGTGATCTTCAGAGGACCCAGGTTAAGTTCCCAGCACCCACATGGCAACTCACAACCATCTATAACCCCAGTTCTAGAGGGTCTAATGCCCTCTTCTGCACAAGCATCGCACATACACAAATGTATATGCAGGCAAAACATTTATACACATAAATTAATGGTAATTAATAAGTAAACACAAATCTTAGAAGATCTTCGGCTACTTAGACAAGTCCCCTTAAAGTGATATCAGATAACAGCTTTTCTATTGTAAGTATTTTTCTTTCTAGAAAGAAAGGGCTGACAGCTTTCAAAACAAATGATAATCTAAACTGTAGTTTGCAAATAAAAGCCTCACTCAATATGATACTATTCTTTTTTAAAAACATTTTCCTAATAGTAAAATAGGGGCTGAGATTTGGCTCCTTAGTAGAGTGCTATGTGCAAGCCCTGGAGTTCAATCCCTAACACTATAAAATTATGTTAAAACAAGTAGGCATAACTTACATTGATATAATACTGTGAAAGAAATTATTTATTTGTTAGCATTTATAGGGAGTTACTCCTCATTTTTTCATATAAGATTTTGAAAATAGTGCTTTATTTTATGTGAACTAGACATTGATATTTTTATGGTTGATTGCAACTTAGGTGTCCATATAAAATACCTGATCTGAATTGAAAAGTTTTTATTTTAACTATTTGAATCACTTTTTTTGTAGATAACTGGGAAAAAGGCATATACCACAAGCCAGCAAATTTATCAAGCCATTAAGTCATTGTGGACAAAAAGCAGTGAAAAAGAATCACTCCCAGAACCAAAGGAAGAAACTAAGGTAGACTTTAAATAAACCAAAAAAGGTAGTCATTTAATTTTGGTTTGAGTAAGAATTGGCTTATATTGATGACACTACAGAGAGGTCAAAGATAAAATGGAGATAAATGAAAGACAACAACTTGGTATAGCATAATTGTATATTCTTTTAGTAAAATAATTTGCTTCTGAAGAAGATATCTGTTTTTGGTAAACAGGTAGGAAGGCCTGATGAAATATATGCCAAAACACCTGACTTGAAACACTCAGTGTCTTTTCCAGAAGAACTTGCCTCTGCAACAAAGATGAAATCGGAATCCACTGCAGGTTTGTTTGGAAGTTTTAATTTTGTTTTCATTTTTATTAAATAATTTTAGAGCATTATAGTTGATACTTTGAACTTACATGTTTTGTCTCTTATGTGTATGCTTTGAATTTCATTTTTGGTTAGGAGGGCCCTAGATACCTGAGATTTTTCTTTTAAAATCACCACGTAGCTATAATACAAGTCTCCATGTGTGTGGGTATAGAGTAGTACTGTCAGTATGATGGAGTGAAGCATTTAATATCACTTTATAAATGTGAGCTATTTTATCAGGAGGAGGAAAGTGTACCTTTCAGAATTCTATCCACTGACAGGTATGAGTCACACCTACATAAAGCCTATCAGCTTTCATTTCTCATGCTATTTTCCTGTCAGTCTCCTGTCAGTCTTAGTTTCCACTATCGGTGCTTTATTACATTCAGGTACCAGGAGAAACTGCAACATGAAATAGTATATATAGCACTGTTAAACTTTGCTAGTATTCACTATTGACAATTAATAACTTGTGGGACCAAAGAGTATTAGTTATACTTTCTAAAGAAATCCTACTATGATACAAAAGAATGTAGCCAAATATTTCAAACCACTTTGACAGTCTATTCACACAAGCCTGTCTGCCACAGATTTGCATAGATTTGCCTTTCTGTACAGTGTGAACGATTCAGCCCATAAGCTGCCTCATTGCAAAGGAAATATGCCAGATTCAGTGCAAATATTACTGCGATCTACCCCTTGTAAAGCATATACTATGATATAGACTGCTTTTAAGTATTATACTCAAACCAGCAATACAATGCAAAACAAAAACCCACCTCTGATGTATTGGTACTTATTCCCATTTCGTGATGGAATGTCTCTTAGTATAAATAGCTTTTATCTTCAAATTGTACAACTTATCAGTAGCAGAGACACGTTTCTTGCTCATCTTCCTGACCCCACAGTCCTGCCTTTTCCCATTGTCTCCAATTTCCTCTATTCTCCTACACCTCTCTGTCTCCATCTGGTGGTAGGCTATGGGTCATGCCTGTAAGCCACACAATTGGGAAGCTGAAACAGAAGACTTTGGAATTGGAAGCCAGTGTGGGCTCTTACTTATTTAGTGCGATCCTACACTAGTCTGGGCTACATACCAAGACCCTGTCTCAAAAGACCAAGATGATAATAACAATAGTATAAGACAAGATTTGTTACCAAATAGCAAAACCTGACTTGAATATTTTTCTGTCTTTCCTTTCTAATCAAGATAAGTTATACAACTTTTAAACTTTCTCTGAGCATATCTACAAAGGATATAATATATGCAGTCATTTTTCTAAATGTCTGTCAATTCCCAAGTATCTTGGTGAAGGTGAAACCAAATACAGCTTAAAGTAGGATTCAAATCATTCCCATCCAGTATTTGTCCTTATCCATCTGTGATTTGGAACCTGTTTCCTGTCATAGATGATATGGTACATGAAGAGCATTCTAAGGAGACTTGAAGTGAGACAGAGATACCAGTGATATTTATGATTATTACATGTCTTAGTTCATGCTACTATAAATAGGAATATCATAGACTGTATTGCTTTCATTCAAGAGAATGGAAGTTCAAGACCAGGGTGCCAGCATGGCCAGGATCATAGAAAGGTACTCTTCTGGCTCCTAGGCAATTGGTGTCTTGTATCCTCACATGTTAGAGAAGAGAACCAAGCATATTGTCAAGACATCTCACAGGGCACAAATTCCACTCAAAAGGACTTCATCACTTCATCTAATGCTGATTACCTTCAGAGGTCTTGCCTCCTAATACCATCACATTGGTGGTTAGGGTTTCAGTGTAACAATATATCTTTGAGGGTTAGTTATCTCAGCCTTAGAATTGAGCATTTCTCCATTTCACATGTAATCAAAAAGTTCCATGACATGGGAAACAGTAGTCTTGTAGACCAGGCTGGTCCTGAACTCACAGAGATCCACCTGCCTCTGCCTCCTGAGTGCTGGGATTAAAAGCGTGCCACCACTGCCTGGCTATGATCACAGGTTTTGGGATAAGACTTGAAGGTGAATACCAAACCGAGTATTTGAATATTCTATTACATGGAATAAGAGACCCATCATCATTTAGGTTTAGTTTCCCCATCGGCAACTCAGCTTCCTCACTCACAAACAAAAAGAGAATAATACTTCTCATATGTTTGCTGTGAGGGTTAAATTCTCCGTCTCCCCCTCATGCACACATACACACAACACCCTGACACAGAATCTCAATATGCATTTCAGACTAGCTTTGAACTGCTGGAAGTCCTCCTGCCTCAGCCTCTTCAGTGCTGCGTGAATCCTCTATCTAGATAGACTATATAGACTATGTGTTTCTGAGGATTAGAGTTCTAAAGGTAGTAGGTCCTTTCTAGTTTAGGAAATTTGCATGAGTCAAACTGTGGCCAAGAATAAAAATTAAAATTAAATTACTGTAGAAGTGTTAGAGGGCTTAGGAAATTTGCATGCATTGCTAAGCAAATCTGAAAGCAGAAGACACATAAAATGACTTGTCATGTACCTACTAATGTCTCTGCTTAACAAACTTTTCTTAGAGAGATGGCTACTGGCAGGTTGCCCATGCCCCCATGGACAACCCCACAGCTATGTCCATACAGGCAACATTAATTGGATTCAGTGGATTATTTAAGAAAGAAAGGAAGGGGAAAGAGATGGAGAGAGGGCGAGAGGTAGAGGACTTGAAGTTGGAAGGGGGTTATATCAGGGTGAGGGCCTGAGAAGGTAATTAAGAAACCTCATATACATCTATGAAGGCTACTGATGATAGGTTTCTTATGCTTCAGTAGATGGACCTAAACATGCACATATAGGAAGCACTAACAGGACTTAGTTAGTGGTTTATCAAAAATAAATAAATAAAAGGGCTAGAGAGTTTGCCCAACAGTTGAGAGCATTGGCTGCTCTTATAGAGTACGAAGGCTTGATTCCTAGCACCCACATGGCAGCTCATAACTGTAACTCCATTTACAGGGGATCTCATGCCCTCTTCTGGCTTTTGTAGATACCAGGCATGCATGTGGTATGCTGATATACGTGCAGTCAAACAACTGTTAATAGTAACAATGATAGTAATAATAATAATGGCAATGATATGAAGTTGGGGACATGTTTGGGAAGATATGGAGGTGGGAAATGGGAGGCAGATAATTCTTATGTAGCATTGTGCACATGCATGAAATTCTTCCCACCCCTAGATAGAAAGCAATAACCAATCAATGGCTACTGAGAAAGGAAAAATCTGTTTTCTCCAGGGACAAGCCCCACGACAGATTATCTGATCCCTTATGGTCAGCCCTAAAAGTGTACATATGAGCAATAATGAACATGGTGTGTGTGTGTGTGTGTGTGTGTGTGTGTGTGTGTGTGTGTGTGAGAGAGAGAGAGAGAGAGAGAGAGAGAGAGAGAGAGAGAGAGAGAAGGAGTCGGCATGGTGGGATGGATTTCTGAAGTTAGTAAGTAAGAGTAATTGCTTTCATAGAGTCTCTTTAGATTTTTGCATGTATCTAGACCAGAATTTAGGTAGCCACAATTTTTACTCAAAGAAGACAGAAAAATTATGTATGTGTGTATGTATGTAATAATATTTAAAGAAGAGGTCATAAAGTTGAAAGTGGAGTTTACGTGGGAGGAGTTAGAAGGCGAAGGAGTGGAAATACTATAAATACAGTACTCAAAAACTAAAAATTTGAATAAAAACTTTCAAAAATAAAGAATTTAAGAAAAGTTCAAAAAGACTTTTCCCATTATTGAGCAGTGACTGCCACCAGGTAACAGTGAAGATGTACGTGAGAAAAGCTGCTAAGTGCAAAACCACTAGCATTTCTTTACCCATTTTTAGACACTTTGCAAAAGGTTTTCAAATGAAATTTAAATATGTAGTAATATATAAGCCTTGCATGCCACCATCATGAACCAGGAAGCCATCTCTTAAAGGAGCCACACATCTGCTTGCTGCCAGCAAACAGAGCCTACCTGAAAAAAAATGTGGCTACCAACAAGCTGTTTCTGACTCTCTTTTGTGTGTCTATAATCCTTTTTTTAAAGCCTTCTCAGACTTTATGTGAATGTATGTGCTCTGTTATAGTCTCTTAATCTTTATTTTCATTAACCACGTGGAGTTTATTAAAGGGGAAGGGAAGAAGAGAAGGGGGGAAGGGACAAGAAGGGTGGAGAAGGGAGAGTAAGAGAGGTGAGGCCCAGAGGGAGGGGCGTGGGAGAGAGAGCGAGAGAGAGGAGAAGAGAAGGAGAGAGAGAGAGAGAGAGAGAGAGAGAGAGAACACATGGAGGTGCTCGCTTAAAAGGGGAAGCTTGCACATGTGTACCGAGTCCTTACGCAGCCTGTAACTCATGACCTAGCCATGACAGGGCCCTTTGAGCTGCCTAAGTATCTGCCTGAATGCTGTATGTGTGTCCCACCCATTGTCAGGGGGCAGTGAGCATAATGCTGGGTTCCAGCACTCCTACCTCTTGTTATTATTGAACAGGTGGGGAGTTAGGCATGGCAGGTTAGGGAATAAGGGCATCAAGTTCTCAACACTGCTTCCTGAGAAAGCTGTAGTGTTGCCATGTCCTGGGGTAGCTGGTTGTTTCATTGCAGTCCTGGCTGTATGGAACTCTAGCACCTCTTTAGACTTGGCAAGATGTTGGCAGAGCAGAGGACAAGGCTAAGTTTAGAAAAAAATTTCTTAGGTCCTGGTACTTTAGGGGAAGATTGTAAGAAGAGGGAGGGGTTCCCCAGGGGCTCCCAAGATGAGGGAAGGGAGTCCCAGGACCAGGGAAAGATTGAATAATATTTGGGGTGAATCTGACCTGTTTCAAGAATCCTTTAAGTTTGTGAAAACGTAAGTTTTAGACACATTAGCTTTTCCATTGTTTATGATCTGTGCTGAAGTTTGCATTGGAGAAATGGCAGTGTACTCATGTCAGAAATGATTTGGCTGAAAGCATTAACATTTTTAAAACTGTCAGATATCTTTAGCATAATGAAAAGCACTTTAATCTTGACCTTGTAGTTATTGGATAGTGGTATAGTATATTGTTCAGTACCCTGTCAGAGTTGGATTAATACCTTTATTAATATTAAGACTATGAACAGTAGCATAATGAGAAAGAAATCTGATAACTTGCATTTGTATACATTAAGTTAATTATACTTTAAAACTCTTTTTAAACAAAGGAAGGATAAGAAGTTATACTGAAGCCAACAGCCTTCAAACTGCATTAGAGTTCTTGAGAAGGATAAAATTTTACCTGAATTAACTATTAGAGAATGAGAGAGACTTGCTATCTGACCACATGGACAGCTACCCCCAAGCCAACCTCTATAGTTGTTGAGGGCAGAGGCTTTAAGGACACCTGCCTTCTGCTGATAGCATGAGACCTGTGGATTAGGAGCTGTAGGAAGACTTGCCTATCATTGGTCCAAACAACGTGGAGACGTTGATTCCACCATCCTCTTGTTCATGGTCCGAAGAATCCTTTGCAGCAGTTGAGGTGAAAGGCAAGATCGCTCAGTGGCTGGCGTTACCACTTTTGTGGGTGGAGTACTTCAGTGTCCAGTCTTCTTTGGAGGAAATGGGCTGATGCCAGCTGCAGGCCTGTCTCTCTGTTATGGAAAGCTTTTTTAATAAAACATTTTAAATGCCATATTCTCTAGATCTCTGAGCATTTGAGGGCTGTCTGTTTAGTATATCTCAGTATATAAAATTTGTCTTTATTTACTTGCCTTAAGCACATAGGTGGCTAGGTAAGGCTTTATCCCTGTAAATTTATATGGCTACAGATTAGTGTGGCTTCATTGTCATTAGGGTAGGATCTGTCTGGAGAACTCGATTGAAGCTGAGAGGTTGTTTAAGGATATTTTACTCAGAGCCCTCCAGTTGGAATGCAACTGGTTTTAAAAACATCTCTTAATCATATATATATATATGTGTGTGTGTGTGTATATATATATATATATATATATATATATATATATATTTAAATTTAAATCACATGTACAGAGACAAGCAGATATATCAAACAGGACTGGATAAAATTAAAAAAGGGACAACCAGAGTCTGATTTGGACATTGTAGCAAACAGACAGGAGATTTAAAGAGACAGAGAAGACTTAAAACTGCCAGTGACAAGAAAGCAGAGCCACTGCAGATGGCTGGCAAGGTTTTTGCATGAAATGTGGGCCCTACCAGGTCTTGGGAAGGCACACCACTCCGCAGACAAGCCATGTGCAACAGAGCCAGTGAAAGAAGAAATTAGAGACAAAGAAATAAAAGGCAAAAAAGTAAATGGATTATGTTTGGCAGGGTTGGCTAACCCACCCCTCTGCCTAGGCATAGAGTGGGGCGGACCTACGGCTAGGCCACACAGGCAAGATGGAGGCTGCCATAAATATGTTCCCGTCCACTAGCAGAAGTTAGAAAGTTTTGAGATATAAATTGGTTGGCTTTTTTCTTCACAAGTGAGGCAAAAAGATTTGTGAAACCAACGGGACACCAGGGTCCTAGGGGCACAACATCCAAAAAGACCACTGTAGCTCTAAGAAACGAATGCACCAGTCTATGGCCAGTACTGGGTTACAAAATCCGAGAGGTCCCTCCTGGGTCTGAGGAACAAATGTATCAATCTGTATGAGTGGTGCTAGAGTACAAAACCCAAAAGTCTCATTCATGGGAAAAAATGAAAAAAGATGCTGCCTCAGGCCAGGGCACTGTGAGCCACTGGCATCTGCACTGAGAAGAAAAACAGTAGAAGGGCAGCAGAGAAAGGACAAACAGGACAGATATTTTGAACAGGAGCATAAGATGTCTATGAAACAGGACATTCCCAGGTGGAAGGAGGTTCCCGCCCTGAGACAGGGTTAGCCATGTTGGGAAGTGGCAAGACACCATTGTGGCAGGCGGGAGAGTTTTAGCAAGCCAGGAAGAGGAGGGAAACAGACAAGTTCAAGGAAAGAGATTGTTTAGCAGAGAGGTAGAAGGAAGCTTAGATATATGATAACTCCATTTGCCTGCCTGCTGGCAGTAATTGGAAAGGTCCCATAAAATGTTCTGATCTAAAGAGCCGTTGAGTGGCCAGTTTGACATATATTGCTCTTGGAGCTCATCAGCACGAGAACACAGCCAAGGGCAAGGCCTGACAGGACTCAGTCTGATAGAACTCAGCAGTCCAGAAGACCTTAAACAGTAACCACTGGAGGCTTAAAGCTGAATGGAATGTACTGCTCAAGGAGTGCAGTGCTGAACCTCATCTGTGGGAAATAGAACAGAGATGATGGTCAGTGAGAGGGGTCAGCTGTGGCCTTAAAGACTGTGGCTGGAGGCTCCCCCGCTTCCAAGAACTCCAGAAGGTTTGTGGACAATCGGTAGTCAATCCTTTGGGTTCAGGGAAATGTTTGCCGTGACTGGGAGAGGGGGTACCTTACCAGAATGCAGCGAACAGGTAGATGAAAAGTGGGTTGTCGGTTCGCCATCAGGATCCTCGAGTGTCTCCAGCTGCCCGCCAACAGGTGACGGGAGAGATTACAGAGAGAGCCTGAGCAGGTTTCTACACCAATGTTGTTCTTTTGTTTAAATTATAGGCACAATGGAACACGAACCAAAATATTAATTAACCATATGGAGTTTATTGAAGGGGAAGGGAAGAAGAGAAGGGGGAATCAGAGAAGAGGGGCAGAGAAGGGAGAGCAAGAGAGGAGAGAGAGAGAGAGAGAGATGAGGGGGCAAAGGGAGAGAGTGAGGGGAGAGAGAGAGCTAGTCTCTTAATCTTGACCTGAAAAGGTTACAGCATTGCGGAGAGTTCCCTTGTGCTTATCTGTAGATAATCCTACTTAGCTCCATGTTTTTAAATGCTGTATAGCTGGAACTGCTATAAACCAGTTAAGTCCTCCTGTGAGCTGTACTGACACATTCTAGCTGCCTACCCAGTATTTCTACTCTTTTGTTGGGTCAGTAATTCAGATTCATCACATCCCAAAGTTAACATTTCATTTGCTTTGCCCGGAATCTACTTGTATCACTTTTTTTTTTTTTCTGTCTCAATAAATGTCAGTTCCATTTTTCTGGTTTCTCAAGTTAAACAGTCAGTCCCTCTAGGCAATCCTGTTCGTTTTACCTTCAGAATTATTTAGAGTCCTTTGTCATAATTCTCACAACTGTCACCATGAAGCCCTTCAGGGAGCAATGCAGCGGCTTCTTTTCCTCTATGCCTACTACTTTGTTCCTCTATGGTCTCTTTTACCTAGGTAAAAATGCTCTTATTAAACACAACTATGTCACTTGTCTACTTAAAATTGCCTTGTCAATTTAAACAAAAAGGTGACTCTGAGCTAGCCTGAGCTCTTCTTCTTTCAGCCACTGACACCTGTTTGTCTACTGTATTCCAGCCATGTTGTACTGGGTTCTCAGAATGCCTTGCCTTTAGCTTATCCTGGAAGTCACTTCTCACAGATATCTACAGAGCACATGTCTGCATCTCCCTTGATTCTTTGCTCAAATATCACCTTTCTAAAACCCTTTCTAAGCAACATGATTTAAAATTGGAAATTACTCAGACACTTCATGTGTCCTTCCCTGATTTTGTGTTCTGGGCTACACCTAACCACCATAGGATGTACTGTGTATTTTACTTACCTTGTCTGCCTCACCCATGCTAGGCTCATATTGAAGAGATTTTATGTTTTGTTTAACTGCTACATTCCCAGTACCAAGTATAAATGTCTAATTTTTCACTTGAATACTTTATCAGGCACGACACAGTTTATACCTGACCCCAAGCTCCTGGATCATGGACAGTCTCATCCAGAAGATAAAGATATGTACAGCACTAGAAGCTGAAGTAGATGGCAGTGGGAGCCTACATAGAGAAGATGTCCCAAGTGACAAAGAATGGTGACACATCATGTAATGGATGGGTAACTGACAGAGCATGACTAGAAATTTTTCCATGACATTTTCAAATAAAGAGTTTGGCCAATGTTACAAGTGGTTAAAACACAAATTAATGACTACAACACAAGTAATGTTAAAAGATTGAAGAAGCAACTGAAGCAGAAGTGCTAGGAGTACATTTCATGACTTGTAAGAGAACTTATTAGAAAGCAAAATAGAGTGAAGATAAAAATGCCTATGAGACTAAAATCTGAAAATATGCATATGTAAACATACATATACATATTGAAACATATATATCTGCTTCAGTTTTGCCAATTATTGCCAGTTAACTTAGAATGCTGGATAGAAGGGTGTGGTTTTTTTTCCCAGAGTTGGAATAAAATATCCATATTTTATGGCACATGAAGTTGGATTTATGTCTTTGTTTTATTTAGTTTAACCACTCTTAGATGCCTGAAAATATCTGCTTAAAAGACCATCTACTACGCTGTCCTAGTACTGCTTAGCAATTTTGCTATTGCTTCCTGGATATTGTGCTTTTCTGTTTCCTTCCTCTCAGGCCTCTTAAACCCATCCAAGTTGTCTGTGTTCCATTTTATAGAGCAGGAATGTACAATACTTAGATCTGACCATTTCCAATGCAACCAGTCATCAAACTTCCAGAGTGACTCTTTGCACTCACTCTTTCCTAAGATGAGTGTTCCTTCTCAGATTCCCGTTTTTCCATTTTTACTGGGCTGTATTTTATCCTGTTTAACCTTCAGTCTTCAGTTTCTCTTCACTCAGTTCAATCCCTCAACTGGTAAATAGATTTAGTTTTCTTTTTCTTTTTTTTAAAAGAAAATCCAAAAGTACAGTAAAAAAAAAAAGAGCGAGAGAAAGCCTAACTAAGCCTCTTCTCTCAAACTGTCATTTCTCTTGCATATATTCCTATAATTTATGTACATCTTTAAAAAGCTATTAATGTGTAAATAAAGTGAAGCACATTGATTATCAATAATATTTTAATGACCATCAAAACCATTGTCTGTTAGTTATTTAGAAGACTAGCAAGTATTGTTTGATTATTAAGGATGCTTCAAACCTCAGTCACTCCTAACACTGCCTGCAGTACTTTACATCAGTACTTTCTTACTGCATCAGCATCTGACATGTTGATGAGCTCAGACCTTGTATTTTACTTCGATGTCTATTAATTTTCATGATCAAATAAACAGAAAGCTGGAGAGATTGCCTAGCAAGAAAAAGTGTTTTCACTGAGGCCTGATAACCTGCATTAGAGCCCTGAGACCAACATGGTACAATGAGAGAACTTCAGCTTACAGATTACCCTGTGACCTGCATACAAAGACAGTGACATGCCCATGTGCACACATGATAAATACTCTGTTTTTTGTGTTTTTGTTTTTTGTTTTTGGTTTTTTTGGGGGGGGGTTCAGGACAGGATTTTACTGTGTAACAACCTTGGCTGTTCTGGAACTAGCTCTGTAGACTAGGCTGACTACAAACTCACAAACATTTGCCTGCCTCTGCCTCCTGAGTGCTGGGATTAAAGGTGTGCACCACTACTGCCCAGCTAAATAATTGTTTTTAAATAGACATAGTCCTTTATTATTTTTGTTTGTTTGTTTGTTTGTTGTTTTTCATACACAGTTTCTCTATGTAACAGCCCTGGCTGTCCTGGAACTTGCTTTGTAGATCAGGCTGGCCTCGAACTCATAAAAATCTACCTGCCTCTGCCTCTTGAGTGTTCAGTTTACAGGCATGCACCACTACCACCCAGACCCTTATTATTTTTTTCTACAATGGCTTCTACAGTATCTTTAAAGAAAGCAGAAATCAAATGGAAAAGTTATAAATGAAGATTGTTCAGTGAAAAAATACATTTTTTCTTAAGACAAATAGTAAGGCATTCTGTATAATTTGTAGGGAATTTGTGTGAGCTTTCAAAGACTATAATTTGAAAAGGCCTATATGCAAAACCATGCTGCAAAATCGGATGTGTATCAAGGGTTGTATGTTAAAGATAAAGCAGCTGGACTGAAAAAAGTCTGTCTTTTCAGCAAATTTAGGGTTTAAGTTATAACTCATATGAACTATATTGTTATATTGCAATTGCTAGTTCTTTGGTAGCTTATTTAATAGCAAAATTAAGACCACTTATAACGAGTTTCTTAAACAGTGTGTAGAGATTATGAGAATTATAACACCCTTAGAAAGGAGGACCTAATTCTAAAATAACCATATCTCATGAGAGTATAGTTAGGCAAATTGCAGAAATGGTTAAGTCCATTGAAATAAGTATGGGAGATGAACCACTGATTTTAAATTTTATGCTTTAGGGATGGAAGATAGCACTGATACTCCAAATATGGTTGAATATGATATCTTAATGATAGCATTGATGGCAAATATAGTGTTACTGAAAAAAAGACTTCTTTAATGACACTAAAGTGTACAGCTAAAGCACGAGATTTATATGAAGCAGAAACACATATGTTAGAAGAATTTTCCTTATCCACTGTCAACATATTTAGTCTAGCTATGGACAGTGTCCCTGCAGTGGAGGATAAAACACAGGAATTTGTAAAATTAATGCAAGACAATGAAATTGCTTCCTCAAATTTATGTCTAATGGAGTGTCAGTGCATAGCACACCAGCAGTTTTTGTGTCCAGACCTTTAAAATGGGGGTGAGAGATGGTCTAGTGAGTCACAGGCTTGTCGTGGAAGCATGAAGAACTGAGTCTAAATCTCTAGTAATGCCAAGTGCAGCAGTGCACCTCTGTAATCTCAGTTCCTACATTCTTACAAGGTAGGATGTGGAGATAGGAGTACCCCCAGAAGTTTGTGGTTAGCTAGCCTGATGTATGCAATAGTGAAAAACAAGAAATGTGTCTCAAACAAGTTTTGATCACTGCACATATACTTGTAGCATAGATGTGCCCACACTCACTAATGTACACACACACACACACACACACACACACACACACACACACACACTCTCATGAGAGTTTTTAAGTATTAAAAATGGATAGTGTCATGTTCAAGATCAAGCCAGTCAAAATTCCAACATAGATAGGAGACCCGCTTCCCCTCCATGTTGAGGTCTTACCCCCTATCCAAGAAGCTGTGATCCACTGACTGCTGCTGTCAGAGGGAGAGTCACTTTCTCTTGGGTGTGTGGCCTATGGTAGGTTGCTGATGCCCCACTGAATTGCCTATACCCATGTGTATATGAGCATTATTAATGAGACTCAGTGTTATTAATAAAGTAAAAATTAATATGTTGTGAAGTTAGGAGGGAGACTGAGTGGAGAGCATAAAGGAGAGAGGAAGCAGTGGTGGATGGATATGGTCAGAATGCATTGTATAGATGTATGAAACAGGGACAGGGACACACATGGAAAACTGGGTAGGGAAATGCCAGGAGGCATCAGCCCAACCCAAAGAACCATAGGCAATGAAGGATGCTGAGAGCAGGAGAAATAGTCTTCCTCAGGGAAGAGCATGCCAGGTGGTTATTCAGTACCAAATGGTCAACACTGAAAACACAAATTACACTGTACAGACTGAGCAGGTTGTACTTATGTATTTAGGAATATGTATGTATCTGGGTATGTAAAAACTATTAATGAAGAAAGAGGCATAAATTTGAAGAAGAACAAGACATGGGAGAATTTTGAAGGAGGAAAGAGAAGGGGGACTGATGTAATTATATTATGGTCTCAAAAAATTCAAAGCAGAGAAAAATAAAATCTAAAGAGTTAATATGTATATTTTAATTATTTAAACCAATCTTAAAATTATAATTTCATAATTCCCCTTCCCCTTTCCTCCCTGCAAGTCCCATATAGCCCTCCTTGCTCTGTTTCAGTGTTACAGCCTCTTACTATTAGTTGTTGTTATGCATGGGCGTGTGTGTGTGTGTGTGTGTGTGTGTGTGTGTGTGTGTGTGTGTGTGTGTGTGTGTGTGTGTGTGTCTGTGTCTGTGTGTCTGTGTCTGTATTTCTGTGTATGTGTGTATTCCTAGATATATAAATACAACTTGCTCAGTCTGTACATCATTTTTAATCCTGAATTTCATAAGACCCAATGGATTAAATTATCACCAGTTAACAGGAATTCTTTCAAAATGTTAATTTTGACATGGCAGTATTATTTCCTTGTAGAAGTAATGTGATTTGAGGCCAAATCTTGAAAAAATATGATTTGTGAGACATTATCAAGTCCTTTAGGGTATCATATACAAAATTTCATGCCAGAACTTGATGATGAAAACTGGTTTACAGACTCAGCATTTTCACTTAAGTGACATAAATATGCATTTTCAAGGTAAAAATCAACTTATCAGTATGATTTGTCAAATTATTACAGTGTCCCAAATGAAACTAAAATTATTCTATGTTGTCATGTTGGCTAAACAGTTCCCTGAGCTCTAAAAAATATGTAACCTTGCTTTTTAAAATTTGATACAAGAATGTGAAAACAAATTTTAACATTTATGAAAAACTATATTTGCAACTCCATTTTCAGTCAACATAATTGTTGTCTGACAATTTTCAAATAGAAAGCATGGAGCTGAAATTTTATACTGAACTTAAAGGAAAAAAAGTTCATTTCTCAATTGATTGCACCCCCTTTGCCTAGACAAAACAAGGTCAGTCTTTTCCATGGCCCTCTTCCACAGAGAGAAAAAAAAATCTCTCACCTTATAGGCCTGGCGAAGAATGCTGGTCTTTGAGACACCTGCCTCCAGAGGTAATGGAGAAACTTGGGTATGGCTCAAT